CTCTGTGTAGACCTGGCTGTCCCAGAACCAGGCTGGCCTTGAACTCAGAGGTCCTCCTGCCTCTGACTCCTGAGTGCTGGGATCAAAGGCGTGGGACACCCACCATGAGCCAGCCTCTTACGTTTTCCTTGGAGTCTTCTCACAGCACTCCAAATTCTCCTCTTCACCTGACTCCATTCTTGGACCGTGCTCCGATGTTACTGTATGCTCACTCCTAGGTGCCTGGCCCGTGGAGTTCTGGGATGAGCACACCTAGCTGGGTCCTGAGGCCTTGACCACAGCACATTGTCATCTTACTCACACACAACAACCCCAAAGCCGGCTCACACATGCACGGGAGGGTCACAGGCCTTGCAGCGAGTGGGTGTCAGATAACATACATACCTGAGTAACCAGAGATGGCAGTTACAGTCCAGAGAGGAACCATTTTCTTTCAAGCCAGGAAAAAAAAAAAAAGCTGATATTTGAGAAACATGAATGAACAAGGAACCCTGCTTTCCCGCTCCTGTGACTGCCCTGTGTCAGGAAACAATGATGGAGAAGGCTGGGGTCACTACAGCGCCTCTGATTCTCCCTTCTTCCTGACTTGGAGTGTGTTGGTGAGGTATGAGCCGATTAAGGCTGAAGGAGGACAAACCAAACAGTTTTACTACTCGGGTGCAGCTGTTTGGTTTGGTTTTGTTTTAGTTTTTCAAGACAGGGTTTCTTCTGTGTGGCTTTGGAGGCTGTCCTGGAACTTGCTCTGTAGACCAGGCCGGCCTCGAACTCACAGAGATCCTCCTGCCTCCTGAGTGCTGGGATGAAGGGTGTGGGCCACCGCCATGGCCTGAAGGATGTAGCTTTTTGTAAGAACCAGATACGGTACTCCATACTCTGTACAAGTGGGGAGACTGAAGTTTGTAGTTTGGGAGATTCCACGTGTGATGAAACGGCCTTAACATTTCCATTCAAAGCTGGCAGCTTCCAAGAGGGTGATAAATGGTAAAGAATCCGCGCTGCTGATTGGCCACTCTTCTCCACTGCAAACGCTGTTGGGTAAGTAGAAATCACTGTGCTTGGAAAAGGGCGGCTGGATACCTGAAGGTGACTTTGAACTCCTGGTCCTTTGCCTCCTCTCTTGTCGTTTGCCTCTTGGTGGTTTGCTGCTTTGGTTGGCTTTTTGCTTTGTTTTGTTGAGATAGGAGTCTTGCTGTGTTGTCTAGGTTCACTTCCAACACCTGGGCTTGACTAAGTCTCCTGCCTCAGCCACCCACGTACTTGTAAAGTGTGCACCCGGCACTTGAATGCCTCCTGCGGGTCTTTTCCAAATTTACATTTCATTTGTCATGTGGAGGTCAGGGGACGACTTGAGGGAGTCAGTCTGCCTGGGGATCAGGATGGGCAGCGAGACTTTACCATGCTGACCATCTTGCTGGCCTTGACGGACCTTTTGGAAGGAGCTCTCTCTACACCTGTGTGTTTTGCATGGCAGACTCCAGAACTGGGGGGGCGGCTGGGTGTGTACAGACGGGACGTGAGTCCTAGAGAAACCAGGCAGGAGAGAACTTTGGGGTAGGTGCCCTGCAAGCTCTGGGCCTTGGGTCTGTTTCAAAGTTTCTTAGAGTCTTCTCCTCCCCCTGCGTACCCCCCCACACTTACTCAGCCCCCACTTTCCACCTCTGACCAGCCATGCCTCTCTCTGCAGCTGTCTCTTCTGTGGATGCGGCTGCTCAGTGCTTTCTCCGACTTGGGGGCCTGTGCCTTTTTATTTCTTGTGCCGATGGGGCTCTTTGCTCTCCAGCCTCCGGGACTTCCCCCTGGCTTCTTGCTGAATTTACATAGGTTCTATCCAGTAGCTGATTGGCTGCAGGTTTAGTGGAGCTCTGTTGGTCGTCAGAAAACTAGGGGCTTTGGAGCTGGGTCTGTAGCACAGTGGTGGGGTGTACCGCTTAATAAGTGCAAGATCCTGGGTTTTAATCCCTAAGCATCAGCGTATCGAGGAGGGAGGGAAAGAAAGAAGAGGAAAAGGAAGGAGGCAGGGAGGGGGAGATAAAGAAAGGGGAAGGAAGGAAAGAGAAAAAGGAAAAGAAAGAAATATTGTAGTCTTTTACCATCTTCCCCCTTTCTACATCCAGTATAGAACACACCTTGCCTGAGCTTGGCAGAACCTGCCTGGATCTCTGGTTGCCTGGAACTAGTCCTCTGCCCACCAGACCGCAGCAGCACACCCCTCTCCCTGTCCCTCCTCTGACCTCGCCTCGGCCCTCCACCCCCCTCCACTGCTGTCCAACAGTCCACTGTGGTCCAACGACTCTTTTGGGGCACACCTACTGCTCCCTCCTGAAACAAAAAACTTGGCTCTCAGATGTAATGTTTTAACACAGCTTGTTCTTCTTGTCCCTGAAGTTTGCAATGATCCCTTTTGGATGGTTTTGTCCAAAGATGCATCGTTTCATCGTCTTACATAGCTCCCGCGCTGCTTTGCTTTTTGCCAACTCAGCATAAATTAGTGAGGGGGGACCCTCCAGTGAGGAATTGTCTCCATCAGATTGGTCTGTGGGGGCATTTTCTGGATTAACTTGATTTAGGTGGACCCATTCCACAGTGGGTCATACTACCTCTAGGCAGCTTGATTCTGGGTAGCATACAAGAGCAGGCTGAGCAAACCATGAGGAGCAAAGGCATGGGCCTCTGCTCCGTTCCTACCTCCAGGGCTTTGCCTTGAGTTCCCCACCCTGACTTCCCTTGGAGATGGTTTGTGATGAGGAAGTGTAAGCCAAATAAATAAACCCTTGCCTCCCCCAGACTGGTTTTAGTCAGTGTTTTGTCACAGCATCAGAGATCAGACTAACACACACACACACACACACACACACATACACACACACACACTCACACAGTGAAGTTACAAAGAGTGTGCGTGCCTGTGTGAGTGAGTGTGTGTGTACACAGTGAAGTTACAAAGAGCATGCGTGCCTGTGTGTGTGTATGTGTGTGTGTGTGTGTGTGCTTCCAGACAGGGTCTCACTATGTAGCTCCAGTTGTCCTGGAATTCACTATTTAGACCGAGTTGGCTTTGAACTCACAGAGATCTACTTGCCTCTGCCTCCCAAGTGCCAGAATAAAGGCCTGCACCTATATACCCAGCAAAGGCAAGTTCTTTAGAGCAAAACTGAGCAGCCAACAAATGGTCAAATTGTCCTTTGTCCGGTGACCCTCCCTGGATCAGGGCCAAGATCCCGCTTCCTCTTAATTCGACTGTTCTGCCTTTTGGCTTCGGTCTAGCGCTGATTTGCTCAATCCCCTGCCCGTCCTTCTCCAGCTTCCGTTGAAGCTGAGCTCTGTCTGTCCTTCCTTCCCTCTCTCCTTAGGACTTCACGGGAGGAAGCAGTGTGAGGCTTCAAAGGCACTTGATAAGCTCAAGAGAGCTAGCTGTGACTGCTTCACTGAGGACAGAGCGACCAGCATCTCTCAGACTAACGGTTTTGCTAGTTTGTCTCGTTTTTTGTCCTTTTTGGTGCTGGGATCTACCACCGGGGCCTTTCACACGCTAGACCAGAGCTTTACCACTGAGTTGACCCCGGACCAACCCCAGTTCTTTCACCTATTTATGTATGTATTCTGTGGTGCCAGCGTTTAGTCTGCATGTGTGTGCACGGGCCAGGAAACGGTGCTGAATCTCTAGGGCCTGACGGTTGAGTCAGTTGTAAGCTGCAGTGTGGATACTGAACTCAGGTCCTCTGGAAAAGTAGCCAGTGCTTTTAACCACCTTGCCATCTCCCCGTCCCCGTCCCCCCCTCAGTCCCCGTTTTTTTTTTTTTTTTTTTTTTGGTTTTTCGAGACAGGGTTTCTCTGTATTGTTTTGGAGGCTGTCCTGGAACTCGCTCTGTAGACCAAGCTGACCTCGAACTCATGGAGATCCACCTGCCTCTGCCTCCCGAGTGCTGGGATTAAAGGCATGTGCCACCACCGCCCGGCTTAGTCCCTGTTCTTAAATGCTCAAGGGTGGGTCCCTCCGTGGCAGAACCTCTAATTTCCTTTTACTTTCTCCCTTTGGCCAGCTTACATGGGTTGGTTAGTCAGAAGTGACTTCAGTTTTACCTTCTGTGATTTATCAACAACTTTGAAGTTTAGTGGGGTTTTTGTGTGTGTTTGTTTTGGGGGCAGCTAGTAGCGTTGTTTTTAAATGCCAAATTGTAGTCTACCTACAGAGCTAGTTCCAGGGCAGCTGGGGCAGTTACACAGACACACTGCGTCACAAAAAAATTAATTAATTAAAATAAATAAAAAAAATAAATAAAAAGCTAGCAAATAGATAAAAATAAATACCAATTTGTAGATAAAGAAGTCAAGCTTTTCAAAGGTTTCACATGATTTACATAGAATTTCCTAAGTAACTTAACAGGAAAAAGTTTGCCTCACATCAACCAAGTCCCGAGTTCAAACAAACAAAAAACACAACACAACAAACAGCTTGCTTAAGCCGCAATAATCTAGTTCTCTTTTTTTTCCCCCTGTGCTTACAGTATAAGCCATAGATCAGGGCCAGGAAGACAGCTCAGATGGTAGAGCACCTGCTGCCACGCCCAAGGACCTGAGTTCAATCCCCTCGAGGATGAGGGAGGCGACAACCCTTTCAAGTTGTCCTCTGACCTCTGTACACTTGCCACGGTGTGCACACTTGGCACACAGAATAAGTGTTAAGTTTTTAAAAGTCATTTTTTTGAAACCCAAAGGCAAATAGGGAATACAATTTGAGAGCATAAAGATAGCTAGACTGTATAACAGAAGATAGATAATGTAGATAGATGATAGATAGTATAGATAGATGATAGTGTAGATAGATAGATAGATAGATAGATAGATAGATAGATAGATAGACAGACAGACAGGCTGACTGACTGTATAACAGAAGATAGTGCAGATAGATGACAGATAGTGTGATAGACAGATGATAAATAGTGTAGATAGACAGACAGACAGACAGACAGACTGTGTTGGTCAGGAGTTTTGTTGTAGTTTATGGGTCCAGACTTCAGCCCACGTCCAGTCTGTGGACATTTACTGCACTTAAACAGCTGTCTCCCTGGTGTAGAATTCCCCAAAACTGACGGCTTTTCAATCCAAGTGACACGTCCACCAAAACATCCCTCCAAAAGAGCCTGAGCCCGGTGCTCCTCTGGCGGAAATCCGAGTCGCAGAGAAGCCCAGACCCCTTCAAGCTCACACAGGATTTTGGGTGACTGCACAGAGCGGGGACCAGAGCACAATGGTCCTGTGGGAAGCCGGGCGTTTTTGTGAGCCAGCCAGGGGGCAGGCGCAGAAACAGGAAGGCCGAGATTACGGTTCGCTTTACAGCTCTTTTGAAGTCGCCGGAGCCAGTTTGGGAAGCCTGCAGGCTGCGAGCGAGCGCGCTGATCAAAGGTCCCTCGGCGGGCTCAAATTAACACGGAGCTGGCGAGCCGAGCAGCACCTGCCCGCGAAGAGCAGCAAACCGGCTCATCTTGCTCTTCTTGTGCGGAGGTGAGCCTTTCAGAAAGCTTGCCCGGGCTGACGGCTCCGGTAACTGTCGGGGTCGAGGGGGAAAGGTGTGGTCTGTTTTCTTTTCCTGGAGGTATTTATTTATTTTTACGTTTGGCCTGTGTGTACACCACTAGAGCCCACTAGCTCTAATTAACGCACACCCCCTATTCAAAAGCGAATGGATGTGTTGGGGTTGGGAGAGAGAGGGATGGAGTGGCGTTATCATGAATTCGCGCCCTTTTAAATGTCGTCCCCCATCTCTATTAAAAGCCGTAGTATTAATGGGGAGGGAATGAGTAGAATTAAAGGGTCGAAATAAAACAGAAACTTACTGGGGGAAAAAAAAGGTGTGGGCTATTGAGCAGTTTGCGTGAGTCCTCACACACCGAGAGGCTGCGGCGAGCGCAGTGGAGGAATTCACTGTGCTGGTCTCTGCTGTTCAGGAGACTCGGGAAACCCAGAGGATGTGTCTGCGCCTCCTCGGAGTCCCCCCAAGAAGCAGATGTGGTCAAAAGGAAATGGAATGGGGAGAGGTGTTTAGAAAAGAGAATCTGTAAACGATCATTTGCCAAGGCAACTCCAAAATCTTCATTTAAGAGTGTAGGGTTGGTGTTTTGTTTTCTGTGTTTGTTTTTTTTCTCTGCAAGTCGTTTGATTTCCGGCCCAGAGTATACTCAGGATGAATCGGCAGAATCCGCTGGTGAATGGGGGTTGCATTCAGACAAACTGAACCCGAGGGAATCAGCTTCCTCCCTGTGCAGTAGTAACCCTCCCACTAAATTGTGAAGTCTAAACGACGTGTACATAAGATGCTCAATAAAATACAATAATGTAATAAACGATAATATGAGATGTCCAATAAATATACTATTGCTTTTAAATTAATCTGGCTTTGTTTCTGTGTTTAACGTATGTAGTATTGGGAATTGAACCTTGGACCTATGCAAGGAATCACTGAGCTACATCCCCAACTCTTAATCTGACATCTCACTATCTTGGAAAAAAAATTGTGAAAAAGAATTGTACTTTTTTTTTGGTTTGGCTTGGTTTTTTTTGTTGTTGTTGTTTTTTCAAGACAGGGTTTCTCTGTATTGTTTTGGAGACTGTCCTGGAACTCGCTCTGTAGACCAGGCTGGCCTGGAACTCATAAGAGATACACCTGCCTCTGCCTCTGCCTCCCGAGTGCTGGGACTAAAGGTGTGCGCCACCAAAGCCTGGCAAGATTGTACTTTTTGTGGCATCTTGATCTATGATATAAATTGTGAAATGACTGGATTGACAATTAACATATCAAGATGGTTCATTAGAAGATTTTAAATAAATGATATTCTGAATTGTGTGGTTTGCTGTGCACAGGCCTTGGGGATAAAAATGTTGGCTGTGTAATACTTATCTCCTTAACTTATAATGATATTACAACCAGATGAGTCTGCCATAAATTGAAAACATTCTAATCCAAAGGGGATTTAATACATTTATCTAGTTTAGACATTTATTTTTATTTTATATGTGTGGTGTTTTGACAGCATGTAGAGGGTGTTAGGTCCCCTTGGAACTGGAGTTACAGTCAATAGTTAGCTCCCATGTGGGCGACAGGATTGAACCCAGGTCAGTGCCCCTAACCACTGGGCCATCTCATCCCTCCAGCCATCACTTCTCTAGTTTTTTGTGGTGTTTTTGTTTGTTTGTGCTTACTGGGCGGGGATGGAGGCCAAGGCCTTGCCGTTCGCACTGAACTACATTTACAGCACCTTTTGCTTTTTGAGACAGGGCCCTAAACCTATGCTTTCATGCGTTGGACTCCGGTGTAATGTGGCCCGGGTACCTGTATCTATCCCACCATTATCGACACGGTGCTGTACGCCAAGGTACCCTTTGTCTACCCTCGTGGTCCTCTTGTGGCCAGGTGAGAGCTGTGACTCACCGTTGACTGCCCAGCATGACAGTGTCCTCTTCACCAGTCTGGGAGCGCATCAGGGTCAGAAGTGTGAGCCTGCTGCTTTCCGGTCATCCGTAGGGCCAGCAAAGCAGCCAGCAGCCATCTTTAGTGTAGCTTTCCTTGAGGTGTGCGCGTCCCAAGACACGTGTTGGATATCCTGAAGTCAGCAAAGGGCCTGTCACGTAGAACTGCTTTCTCCAAATTACGTGTGCACAGCTATCCCCCTTAATCTCAGCTGAGTGCTTGTCCTGTTCCGTGTGCAGTTTGGGGTCGAGCAGGCAGAATTAGCGCTAATTTCTGTTGGCTTCCTCAAAAAGTCACAGGTAGATTTGGTCTCCCTTAGACATGGCCAACTACAGGATGTGACTACCCGTACTGGGAACTTTCACTTTTTCATTTACTGGAAGATCTTTGCAAACCACTCTTGGTCGAATGCTAATTACCATCAAGGCTCTCCACATTTGCATTTTTTTGCATTATGAACACCAGTGCTGGATGCCATCAGCCCATTCAGTAATTGAAATGGCTACCAAGTGGTTGACAGGCAGGCAGCACAGCCCTTGTGTGGAAACAGGGGGATGAGTCACGGGGTTAAGATTGCATAAGATTTTGTCATGCAACTCAGAACAGCATGGAATTTAAAACATGAGTTGTTTATTTCTTGAATTTTCTATTCAATAGTCTCAGTCCTTGTTTGGCCATGAGTAACCTAAACCCAAACCCTAAGAAAGATAGCTAAAGGGAAACAATAGCATCTATTGACTTTTCATGGGACCATTCAAATAAGTTTCAAACCAAAATTCATTAGAAAGAACTTAAAGCAATAAAGTATTATTAGACCAGGTGAGAAGAGACAAACGAAACCAGAATAGCAGCTATTTTTGTTTTATTTCAATTTATGATTTCCCATTAAGATTTATGAGGATTAGGATATCCTGTGTATTGCTGAATATGTGCATATGCAGTAATTTCAGGAAAGAGTTTAATTTGTCCCAAGATCATAAATTAGGATGAGATTTTCAAATGTCAACATACTCAAGTTTCTTTTTTGTTTTGTTTTTGTTTTTTGGTTTTTCAAGACAGGGTTTCTGTGTATTGTTTTTGAGGCTGTCCTAGAACTCGCTCTGTAGACCAGGCTGGCCTCAAACTCACAGAGATCCACCTGCCTCTGCCTCCCGAGCGCTGGGACTAAAGGCGTGCGCCACCAACGCCCTGGCCAGTTGTTTTATTTATAAAGATAATAGTGAGCTAGTGAGATGGCTCAGGGAGCAAAGACTCCCCTCAGCAAGCCTTATGACCCAGGTTCCTCTAGAAAGTGAGAACTGATGTCATCCCACAGGTTGCCCTATGATCCCCATATATGTGGGGTGGCCCATACATACACATCGCATAAAAAAAAAAAAAGATAAGTGAAACGGAGCTTGAAATGCCTTCCGAAATCTCCCCCCCACGGTTTCCTTTTACTGTATACCTGCAAGTGCTGTTTGCTAAATGTCTGCCTACAGCAGTCTCTTGAAGCTGAGTAAATTTCCATCGTGGAAACTGACTCATGTGCAAGTCCACCCACAGGTTACCTCCCAGGGTTGCACGGGCTGTTGGTGTCTATAAAACACTTCATTCAGAAATCCTATTTCCTTGACATTTGTTAAATCTCTGTAAAACTTGCTGTTCTTACTCATCAACTTATGCTTCCCTTGTTTGTTGGCTGTGCTGCTGTGACCACTGGCCTGAGCTGCCTTCCCTTCATCTGCCAGGCAGTTGTTGAATGTTCTCTTTTCAACCTCTGAATCATAAAGTTCAGCCCCACGGGGCAATCTATTTTTAATTACAGGTCACGGCTTTGAGAGGTCAAGACTCCACACATTCTCCCATTAGTGAGCTTAATAAGATCTAACACTCTGATCTCTACATATTATTTTTTTGTTCTCTGGCCAACTCCCAGATACATATTCATTTGGTGGGGGGAGGGGGCTGGGGTGGTAGATAAAAATGAATGTTTACCTTCCTGAAGTGGCTTCAGGGATTGTAGGGGCTTTGCTATTTTTTTTTTGTTTGTTTGTTTGTTTGCTTTTGTTTTTGGAGACAGGGTTTCTCTGTGCAATAGTCCTGGAACTCACTGTGTAGACCAGGATGGCCTCGAACTTAAGGAGATCGGCCTGCCTCTGTCTCCCAAGTGCTGGGACTAAAGGAGTGTGCCACCACTGACCAGCACCCTCTTTTTTTTCCTTCAGAGACATCTTCTCATTGTGTATCTCTGTCCTGGCTGTCCTGGAACTCACTACCCCTGGATGTCCTGGAATTCACTACCCGGTTGGCCTCGAATTCACAGATTACCTCCTCCTCTCCCTGCCTTCAGAGTGCTGGAGTTGAAGGCTGTGCCACCAAGCCAGACAACGCCTACTAAGAGAAACAGGGTGTGGGGCTTTAGAAGTAGTTCACTGCAGAACCAGCACAAGAGCTCTGGGTTTGGTCCTGAGCACTGGAGTAAGAGAACTAGAGAGGAAAAAATGGGGGGAGGGGATCAGGAGTTCAGGGTGAACCTGCCTCTTCCACACCAAGCCAGTCTAGGCTACATGTAACACCATCTCAACAAAGTAAGACTAATGTTGAGTTACTCAAGGCTGCCGGACAGTGGTGGCACACGCCTTTAATCCCAGCACTCGGGAGGAAGAGGCGGGTGGATCTCCCTGAGTTCGAGGCCAGCCTCGGCTACATAGTGAATTTCAAGACAGCCAGGGCTACACAGAGAAACCCTGTCTGAACACCAACATCCCACACACACAGAAAAGAAGCGGTTTAAGGGGGCTAGAGAGACAGCACTTGCCTCTCTTGCACAGGACCTAAATTCAGTTCCCAGCACCACTTACTGCCTTCTGTAAAAAATCCAGCTCTGAGCCGGGCGTTGGTGGTGCACGCCTTTAATCCCAGCACTCGGGAGGAAGAGGCGGGTGGATCTCCTGAGTTCGAGGCCAGCCTGGTCTACAGAGTGAATTCCAGGACAGCCTCCAAAAACAATACAGAGAAACCCTGTCTCAAAAAAACAAAACAAAACAAAAATCCAGCTCTGACACCCTTCTCTGAAACCCTTGGACATCAGGCATATAGGCAAAACACTTATAGGCATAAAATAAAACTTAAAAAAATATAAAAGATTTAAACCAGGTATGATAGTGGACAACTATAATAATGAGATTGAGACAGGAGAATTTGTCTAAGACAGCCAGGAATGGGCAGGCTAGTCCAGCCCCTTCCTCTCCCACTGACTTTGAGTTTAAAGGCACAGTAACACTCTAATTTCCATTAATGGTAGAATCTTTTCTAGGCTAATGGCATTCAAGGTTACAATTACAAACTAGGAACACTCCACTGAAGGTGGGAGTGCCAACTCTTACAGCCACTTTGGAAATCAGTATGGAGATTCCTCAGGAAAATGGGAATCAGTCTACCACAAGACCCAACAATTCCACTCTTAGGCATATACCCAAAAGATGCAAATTCATACAACAAGGATATCTGTTCCACTATGTTCATAGCAGCATTATTTGTAACAGCCAGAACCTGGAAGCAACCTAGATGCCCCACAACTGAAGAGTGGATAGAGAAAATGTGGTACATTTACACAATGGAGTATTATTCAGCAGAAAAAAAAATGGAATCTTGAAAATTGCAAGCAAAACCATCTTGAGTGAGGTAACCCAGTAACAAAAAGACAAACATGGAATGTACTCCCTCATATATGGATTTTTGGCATGGACCAGGGGAGTGACAGCCCACAATCCCACTGTCAGAGAGTCTGGGAAACAGAATCTTCATCTAGCAACTGGTGGAAGCAGAGGCAGACACCTACAGCTAAACACTGAACTCCTGGAACCCAGTGACAGAGAGGAAGGGCTGATGAGCAAAGGGGTCAAGACTGGGCTGGTTTAACCCCCCAGAAACAGCTGAC